ACTACAATGTCAAACAAGGACACTGCAGCAACGCCAGGGTTTCGTGAGTACTATACCCAAACACCAGCATCAGACACAATGTCCACAACACCCGTTGAGAACGCCCAACACTGGTACTCAGTTGACCCTAGCTCGAGTGGACCAGCCAATTGACCCTGGGGGGGGGGGGGCACTCCAAGGCCACCCATCTACAGGAATTCAAGGCCAAAGTGGTGTGTTGCAGTGCCCCAGACACCACTTAACCACCAGGATCCTCTCCTCCCCTTCATGGGTCACCACGCATGGCAAACACATGGGTGGATGTTCAGATCCCAGAAGAAGTAACTGAAAATACAGAACCTTCCCTGGTAGGTCCCCTCACCACGTACAGGAATTCTCGTTGAGGGGGGGGGGGGTGTGAATGTGAAATAAGCATCAGAGATGTTGATTTTGGTCATCCAAAGCCCTGGAGAAAAAGACCATTGAAGATATCACGGTATATTGAGGAAGGTCTAGAACCTGACAGAGACAGGAAAGAACAATGACCAGATGCCAGTCTTCATTGCACTGGGGAACAACAAACAGACATGAATAAAATCCTAGAGAAGGATGAGAAACCTCTTTAATAGCATCCTTAGTCAAAAGGTCTGACACTGCCTCAAAGAAGCACCCAACGTCATTGTGGTACTCTATCTAGAGTGGACAAAGTTCAAATGTTCAATACTAGATAGCAAAGAAATGACCATCTGTGTGTAGTTTATTCTGTAGAAAATAAGAGTCATAAAGTCTGCATAGGCAGAATTGTTGAAAAATAAAAACAAAGAACACATTTCCACAAGTTGCTTTTGTAGATACTTCAACCAAATGTTAATGTTAAGAAGTCTCATGTAAGCAAGAAAAGACACATCTAAACACATGCATGCCAAGTCCAAAAGTAATGATTGAACAATCAGTACAGAGGGAGCTAGTTAGGCTACATGGTGGTGTCATACTTCTATCAGATGGCAATATCAGGTGGCTAGTGGTGAGCAAAATGGTTCACACATAAAGGCAGCATTGAATCAGGAAAGCTAGATGTGAGATGGGGTTATGTATCCTACTGGATATCATCAAGATTGTCAATAATCCAGATAACTGACAAACAGATATATGAGGGTTTACAATAAATGAATCAAAGCCAGTTCTGTTTATGATCTTTTTCTGTAGATATCTTATTGACTAATACTAATTTAAAATTGGTGCTCTACATGGCAATTGTGTATAACATAACATTAATGAAAATTGAAATTATTTTACTTCCTTATTTTGACCGTGTTTCGAGACAAAAGAATTCCACAAACAAGCACAATCCTTGTCTTGAAAAAAAGAAAATACTTTATTCAAGTATTTTATTGTATTTGCACTTACATGATTATCATTTGCACAACAGTTTTAGATATTTTTTAAACTTGTCCCTTTAATGATATTATTTTTGCAATGTGGTGTACTACTTTTGACTACTGAAGTAAATAATTTGACTACTGCTAATTTTCTGTAAGTTGCCAATCTGGATAGTGGCTTTCAAGAGTCAAACTTGATCCAACCACCATATAATACAATTACCTAGATTTCCCTAATTCCTACCTATGTGATTTTCTTAGCTAATCTGTGTGCTACCTTTTCAAAAGCTTTCTGAAAATCTAAGTTCATATCCTTTTCAATGTCTAGAAAACTGTCCCATTTCACAATAATAACATACACAAAAATTACTGTATACAAAAGTATTACAAAAATATATTTCAATAACCTTAACACATACACCAACAACTTCTGTACAATATGCAAAATAATACAAGAAATGCTATGCCATAACTTTTTATGAATCTTATTAATTTCTTATCAACAGCCTTAGCAAACAAAATAACAGTTCCTTTATGAAGCCTCTTAGTCTTGTAAAGTAATATGAGAAAATGATCAGGGACTAGGATAGAGGTGTTTTGGGCTCTAGGCACAATCTTGCTTGAGCACTCTTCCTGAATACATATCAAAGTTATAAAGTAAAAATCATATATATTATTAATGCCACTATATTCTTTAAAGTAATTCAAATTGAATGATTCAGTGATTCTTGAATATGTTGTTACAAATGAAACAATTTAAACATACACTTATGAAATAGGGCATATTATTTATGAAAAATATCATACATGTACTTTTCAAAAATATTTATTTTCAATGCTCAAATTAGGATTTTATTAATTTTACTTTCACTTCAGTTGCTTTCTAGTTTTACCATCCATGAAAAATCAATGACACTGTTAAAGAGTCCAGTTTTGTGAACACTGAATGCTTCAGCAGAAAAGTTCACATAACTGAAGCAGAATAAACCATTTAACTAAAAATAGGATAAATGCAGAGCAACCCATGTTACCAACAAACAGAGGAAACTAACATACTGCAACATGTTCTTGAGTAATACATTAATGACTTACCCTGTTCTGCCCCTAATATTACAATGTAAGTTGCTTAAGTTAGATTATGACTTACTTCTCTTTTATTTTTCTTATTTAATCCACCTTATATACATATATATATATGTATATTGTTCCTTTTCACTTTTCCTGTGCATTAATATGGCCTTAAAGTTGACAATACTTATCCTATATTTATTGACCAGTTTACGTAAGCATAGTGTTATGAAGAACAGTCTATGTAGGGCTATCCATTTTCAAAATTTTCATTAAACACCTTTAAAAAATATTTATCTGGTCGAAAGTTTTGTGAGACCTTAACCTATATAACCTTAAAAATTAAAAGAAAATCAATCAAACCAATTGGATTTCACACAGTTGTATAAGACTCTGAAAGGACATACATGGTATGTTTCATTGTTTGGTCAAGTTAAGGTGTTTGATGTGAAATTTTAAATGTTATTGTTAATAAGAAGACAAACCTATTATAATTTATTTGCATAAAACTTATTAGTATTACATCTCTTGATACCAAGTTTTGGCTACAGACTACAGCAAAAAACAATTAAAACGTATTAGCTTTATTGAGACCTGTTGTGACTTAGGCTATACACTATAGTGAATAATAAACTTATTACAAATATTACTAACACTAATTAGATCTTTTGAGAGTATGACTGAATTGAGATTTAAATAATTGTGAATAACAATAACAATTAACAGTGTATATTAGCTGTATATATATTATATGTATAATTAATATATAGCTAAGCGTTACTGTTGGCGTTTTCACGGTCACCTACTTTTATTATAGTTTTTACCTTATTGCTCTAAAGATTACTAGCAGTGAGTAGTACTACTGAGTAGCATATTTGTAGGTTAGAGCAACAATTTTCAGTTCTTAATTTCTTTGGATTAACAAACCATCAAATTCAATACATTAGTATTACACGAGCAAACTACATTAACTGTTACTGTTAGGCTTAGTCGTTCTAGTTTAATTTCACAAATTTTCAGAAAAATTATGCTAAAAATAAAAGAAAACTAAATGTAAGTCATATATTTATTACTGTCCAAAATATTAGTATAATTCTAACAAATAAATATACGAAAAAATAAGGAATATTTACCAATATAACGTGTAAATACTACATAAACATATTTCTTTTGCAACGATAGTTGTCGCCGAACGAGAGTGATCAACAATTTTTGTTCTATTATTTACTCCATAAACTTAATTATATGTTATTAGTAACATCTTTGATGAACATAAATATGTTTATTAATAAACTGTTGGGATGTCTCACTTTTAATATAGTTTTCTTTCTGCAACACAAAGAAAAAAAAATGAGAAATCAAATACTAGCTTACTTTTTCTTTTAGTTTTACATATTTAACCTATTCGTTGCCAAGCTAACAAGTTCATGCCAGTACTACAGTTATTATTTTCAAAAAGTTAAACAGGAATATGCAAGAAACCTCTCCACATGCGCCATTACACAATTTTCGCATTTCACTTAAACATATTATAACATAATTCTAGTATCTCGGTGTGTTTATTGAGATGTTTAATTATCCTTCTGGCTCTTCCTTACCATAATGATAACCGTGCTAAGAACTTAGCTAATGTAAGCCCTATTATTACCCAATAATCCAAGTTCAGTTGATGTATGTTGAACACCATTTCACCACTAAGAATGATACTTTTATCAGACTACACGATGTTCAGATAGTTTTAAAGGATATTTAAAATTGAAACAGTTACGAAAATATTATACTGAAATTATGGTGAGGAAATCTAGCTGTACTGTTTACTAATTATATTAGCATAAATGTTTGTTTTATTGAATATCGCGTAAAGCTACTAAACGTGATAGACTAGAACCTAATCAACACTTTTTTTTTAATTCCTGTAAACTCCCAGTGGAGCAACACCTCACCAACGAAAACTTGTTGTTACAGTTACTTGTAGCAGGTTGGTTTTTACGGGGTGGAGTTGCTAGCCCCGCGCCCAACCCTCCTCCCGGATTTGGGACCAGACAAAGGCGGAGGTTGGCATGTTTGGTGCGACCGGGATTCGAACCAGCGACCCTGAGATTACGAGTCGAGCGCCCTAACCACCTGGCCATGCCGGGCCTGCTAGTCAACACTACTCACTATTTACCCTTGAACTGCTCTTCTCCAACGAAAAGTGGAATTGACCTTCACTTTATAACGTCCCTAAAGCTGAAAGCATGGGTGTCCACAGAAATGTTTCCAGGGACGGGCAAAGTCTTCCAGAGTGGGGAAAAGTATTGTGAATTGAATAAAACATTCATATACATATGCTGAACGAATAAAGAAAGAATTATGCTTGACATTTTCCAAGGGGGCAAGTGCCCCCATTTTTGAGGAGGGCGATTTTTCCTTTTTTTGAATTAATTTTTTCGACCATACAAAGAAGACTTCTGAATATAAAATAAGGTGAACACAGTTGATTAATTTGGCCTTTTTTCTTTACTTGTTATAAATTCTGTATCGTTTTGATGAAAAATTAAACAAAGAAGACTCCTGTTTGACACGGACCCTTTGAATAAAAAAGAAACAACCATGAAAAAAGGGTGCAAACTTTCTTTCAAATATGTCATTTAAAATAAAAAAGATCTCTTCCGGGAACATGTGGAAATTTTGAAGATAAAATTTCATTCAATTCATCACCTCTGGAAGCTTTGCGCACATCCTACACAAGTTATCTCAGATAGGTAGGTGACAAATATCAGATCCAAGTGAGTAATCAAATCGTGACGGAACAGAGGGACTAGCATCACTTACAATGACCAGGAATAGATTATTATTTTTCACGGCGCAGTACACGCTTTCCCTAAAAAGTTGCAGTACTCATCTTCTACAACGCGGACTGACTTTTACATGTAATCAGGCCTAAAGCTATATAGCTTATATTTAGAAAATTAAAGGAGGGCAGGCATTGTTCTTGCTTTAATTTCATTTCTAATCAATATTCACGAGAAAGATGGCTAGTCTATAATCTATAGGCCTAATTACTCTGAACAATTTACAGGTTTGATAAAGTTTTGTTACGTTTCTGTATGTTTGTTTGTTAATTTTTCTACGATACAAGTCCTTTCTTAAATAAAACTTGTTTATTCTTCCTCAATACAACTTTGCAATACACTTAATTTTCACAGTTACACATACTATATTTCACAACAATTCACTCACTTTCTACCGCGCTTGACTCAATTGTCCGTCTCCATCTCCGCCTGTCAGCAACTATAGTTCCGATCTCTGTATCTGCTATCCTC